TTTTTAGGGTAAGGATTTTAGAAAAAAGTATCATCTTATAGTCGGAAAAATACGGTATATCCTGCAACAATACCTTTAATTCCATCAAACAACATCTGCCTATTCCAGGTCCCTGGGAACGACTTGATAAGTGGATGAAAATAGCAAATCCAGTCTAAACATCTGGCTGACAGTGCGACCAACAGTAATAATATAGTTCTGCTGGTTTATGGTTTCTTATATTATCTAGAGCAGCACATTTGAAAAGGCAGCTAATGCATTTTATCCTTCAGTTTAAACTTTAGTGTTTTAGTTTAATGGAAATGAGAGAATTTTAAGGAGAACCAAAATGGAATCCTTAGTGTGTCTGTTTTTCTAAGAACAGTTTTTTATATAAAAAAAAGTGAATGTGATGAAAATAATTTAAAAATGTGTCATATTGAAATAATAATCATCTGTTTTTAATTTCCTATTTGTGTGCTAGAACCATATGTACATTCTATGAGATCTAAAGCACACAAAAAGATGCTTTTCTTTGTTATAATATCTATTAACAGAAGACAAAGCTCATGTAAAGGCAATTAATTTAATATTTTGTTAAGCTAACAAAACTACATATCTGTCCAAATATTTCTAACCACAATCACCTTTTGGCTCCTAATGAACAGGATTTAGACACTACGGAAATATGTTAATGGACCAGATGTTTTTTATAAGGTAGTCTCATATTCTTTTGAGTAGCTTTGTTGTCCACAAAATCTCAGTGTCATATAACTAAAGTCAAACGTTCTCGTCCCTTTTTTTTTTTTTTGATTGCCAAGTCTGCTCACGCACCGGAGCAACTTCTAGCAAAGCAACTCTTACAACCGCTTGGCTGTTCGCAGGGCTGATTTGACTTCCGCTTGATAGTTCCTCCTCCTCGTAATTTGTCATGACTGCGTGACCATCATTAATTGGATGGCGTTGTACGATATTGATTTTTCCCCTTGCGTGGCGACTGATTGCACCTGACGAAGTGAGCTGTTAGAAATGTGTTAGTCTGAAGAGGCACTATTAGACTCTTTCCGAGTGTGTGCGCGCCTTCAAGTCAGTCTTGACTCCTAGCAACTGCCCGAATGCAGCTTTCTGGACAATATTTTTCGGGAGTGGTTTGCCATTGCCTCCTTCCTAGGGCTGCGAAAGAGCGGCTCAAGGTCCCCCAGCTGGCTTTGTGCCTAAGGCGGGACTAGAAGCCACAACCTCCCGGTTTCCAGCCCGCCGCCTTAACCACTACAACAAAATGGCTCGCTTTTTGATCTTTACGAACTACATTTCCCAGAAACCCTCTCCAAAGTGGATTTGTCCGCTCTATTCTTTTGGACTATAAACTGGGAGCGGAAGGACAGAGCGCAAAATAAGCTGGATCCGAAGCTGCGCGAGGGCCACGGGAAGCCGCTTGCTTTAGAAACCAGCCCAGATGGCCGCGCGCATTCTGATCTTGCCTTCCCCCGCGTGCCTGTACGACGATCCCGTTCAAGTGAAGATCGAGGGTCTCTCCCCGCTGCAGGAGGTCACAGTCGGGGCCTCTTTGGTGGATGAAAGAGGGGACCTTTTCCAATCGTGTGCTTACTATCGGGCTGAGCGTAACGGGGATTTGGACCTCAGCTGCTCCCCCTCGCTGGGGGGGAGCTACCTTGGGGTCGAGCCCATGGGCTTACTGTGGACGCTGCAGTCCAAGACGCCCTACAAACAGCTGGCTAAGAGAAACGTCCTCACCCCTTTCTGTGTCACCTACGAGGTGTACGACGGACGCGGAGTCACCGGCTCGCTCCTCTGCAGCTGCCTTAGCGAGAGGCGCTTTCTGGTCGAGGGCGTGAAAAGGGCGCCCGTGCGGGAAGGCCGGCTCAGAGGCACGCTCTTCTGCCCGCCCGGTGAGTGGCACGAGTGGCTGTGGGTTTTGTAAGAGCGCTGGTGAATTTTCTTTCCAAGAATATCTGCCTGGGTGGTTTTCTAATAAGGCCTGTTCTTTTTCATGTCTTCTTTCAGGCCCTGGACCGTTCCCAGCAGTTATTGACTTGTATGGATCTGGAGGCGGTCTTGTGGAGTACAGAGCAAGTCTTCTGGCAAGCAGAGGTTTTGTTACACTGGCTCTTGCTTTTTTAGCTTTTGAGGATCTCCCAGCCTTCCCAGAGTTCTTCGACTTAGGTTATTTTGGTGAAGCAGTAGAGTTCTTGCAGAAGCAACAGAAGGTAAAAAGCAAACTAAGATCATGTGTTTTTTTTTTGTGTAGAGCAAGAAGTAATTTGGTGGTTTTGTAGTCAAACCTATAGTGCAGTTAACCTGAAGTTTTGTTGGAAATGAAAACTTAAGTTTGCATTTATGAATCTCAGTACAAACTAATCTTCATCTGAAGTTGAAGTAATCTTAGATTTGGTCAACTAAAACGAATCTACTCTGTGTTGTAAAAAGTTCTGTTTGGGCAGCCTTCCTCAACCTAGTGCTCTCCAGATGTGTGTATTTTGAATACTATGGTTGCAGCACATCTGGAGGACACCAAGAGATAGATTTTAATTAATGGAGGGAAGAATGGATATGGATGTTATGGTGATCCTTTTCCGGTTGTTGTTTCAGGTTAAATCTATGAAAATTGGAGTCCTGGGTTTATCTACAGGTGCAGATCTTGGCCTTGCTTTAGCTACATTTTGGCCAGGCATCCAAGCTGCTGTCAGCATTTCTGGCTCAGGGGTAAATTCTTTTGTCCCTCTGAAAGTGAAAGGACACACCATTCCTCTTCATTTTCATGATTGGGAGAAGATCAAACATACTGATGATACAAACATAGTTGATTTTTCTGAAGTAATGAACATCCCCAAAGACCCATCTATCTGGCCATCCCGCATCCCTGTTGAAAAGTCCTTAAGCAAGTTCCTCTTCATATCTGGACAGGATGACCGAAACTGGAAAAGTCAGATGTTCTGCCAAGAAGCTGTTAGTCGCCTTCAGCAGAGTGGACGTCATGTGGAGTTCTATTGCTATCCTGGAGCTGGGCACCTCTTGGAGCCCCCTTATATGCCCTTGTGCCATGTTTCAGCTCACAGGGTATTTGGGGTTCTTCTATCCTGGGGTGGAAAGTGGAAAGAACATGCACAGGCACAGGAAGATGCCTGGCAAAGAATATTAGCCTTTTTCAGACAACACTTGCTGGAGTCACCTCTGAAAAGTACCTTATAGAGTGCAGTTTTGTACATGTGTACAAGAAATGTAGTTGAGATGTTAATAGGTGACAGTTAAACCCAGAGTAATGGTCTCTAGAAATGTATACTTCACCACTTTCAGGTATACTAGCAGGGCACAGCAGATCTCAAGAAGGCAGTTGGTGAAAACCCTCCCAGCTGGAGAGCCTCTAGAACCTTACACATGTAATAAATGAATCCATACCTCTCTCCAGTCAGTTGTAGTTTAATTTAGTCATTCATATTAATGCTTAACAAAAAACTGAATAATGTGACTTCCAGCTAGTTTCCATGGACTAGAGGTAAACCATAAGTACATATTAGGTATGTCATCATGCTTTTGGTGGCTGCAGTGAGCCCACACAAGTGAATTGTACTTGCATATGCAACCTACTTGAATACAGTTGCCATACCCTATAAACAACTTCCTCTCCCACCTCAATATGATGTACAATGTCTCTCCCACCTATACATTTTCATACACTCAGATATTCACAGGTCATTCCAGTAATGAAATCATGAAGCTTTTGCCACAAATGTCAGCAGCAGTATAGTGGTTTCCAGCCCCTTTGCTGTCAGGAACGCAATATCCCTTTCCTCTGCTGTGAAAGGGAACAAAATGATTGTGTTGCTGCCATTGACACTGGCAGCACAGTGCCTTGAGCTGCTCTACTGCAAGAGCAGAGACCATCTTTGGGTTCATCTCTTTCCACTAGGGTTTAGAGCACCTTTCAACAAGAGAGACAAAAAAGCCGGGCTCAGGCAAGGAGTCTGTATCTCAGCAGATGCTAGGTTGCTGACCCTCACCACGGATAGTTGAGAAATCTAAGTTGATCTCTTGCCAAAGACTCCCCTTCTATTGACTGTTTTGCTGCCCCTGCCCTGCTTTTTTTTTTTTTCTTCTTCCTCTTCTGCCCTTCTAGGCTGTAGTTCTTCTCATCTACTTGAGTATAGGCCGCCCAGGAGCTACTACAAGTTGACTTGTCTTTCCAGACCTGCTCATTTAGACTGAGACTTGACTTGAGAAGGGCCAGTTGTTCAGTTAATCCTTCTTCAAAGAGAGCCTCAATAAATGGGCAGATTTTTTCAAGACAAAGCTGAATGGATTGCTCTTTCCCTTTCCTCTTTTAACTCTAACTCAGTCGCAGTTATAAGTTGGAATGTTGTAAGAAAATACATACAGTGGGGCAAAAAAGTATTTAGTCAGCCACCAATTGTGCAAGTTCTACCACT